ATATATCCATATATATCCATATATATCCATATCCATATCCATACGTACGTACGTACGTACGTACGTACGTAGGTATGTATGTATGTATATGTGTGTGTGTATGTATGTATGTATGTATATGTGTGTGTGTATATATATATATGTGTGTGTGTGTGTGTGTGTATACTCCCTCCCTTAATTCTGTGTGTGTGTGTGTTTTTGTGTGTGTGTGTGTGTGTGTGTGTGTGTGTGCGTGCGTGCTGGTCAGTCAGTTTTTATTATTAGCTCCTAGAAAGCAATGCCAAGGTACAGCTGCTGTGCTGGTTGTTTTATGTTATCAGAGCCATGAATCTGACTGAGTTCCGGGATGTATGTATGTGCCTGATTGAAATTGTGCCAAGTTACTTCCTAATGAATTTCTCCAGCCAGAACTACCCAGCATGACTAAGAACCTGGGTACTGGGAAATCCAAATGTTAACAAAAAAGCCAAAGTTGTAGTACAGTCATAAGGCTGAGAGCACCAGATGCATCATGTTTATTGAAGCTAAGCAGCTGTGGATTGGGTTAGCAATCTGGAACAGAGATCAAGAGGAGTTCAGTGGGAAAAACACAGAATAGGCATAAATATTTTTAACAGCTAAACATCAAGATATGAAAAACAAAGACCTGCGTAACGATAACATTACAAATAACTGGATGTTTGATTCTTGAACTCCAGCCCTCCCAAGTCAAAGCAGTCATTCTGTCTGTAGCATCTTATCCTGATTAGCACCCAGGATCTTCTGATTTGAAGATAAGAACATTAGGGGGATCAGACTACCCAATTAAATGGAAGCACTGCTCTAAGAAGAAGATTACGCTCTAAGATGCACGAAGCAAACCTTAAGTGGTTTCAGTTAAGGTAGACTGGGGGGTTCCCTCCATTAAGACCTCTCTCTCCATCCGCTACATAAATATAATTTGAAATTAAAATAGTATTGGCATATATGTCCTTTTAGATCCTCTAGATATAAAATAATCTCTCTCACTTGTTGGAGGGAGTCTGGTGTTATGGAATCATTACACACATGGTTTTCCTGTTCAAAGGTCTACGCTGTCTGTGAATCCGTAACTGAAATCTTGTGCCTAGCCTTCGGGCAGCAAGTTCAATGGGTCATACATTTTACTTTCACAGTTCCTTCCTCCCTCCCTCCCTCCCTCCCTTCCCTTTGGCTGTAACTACACATTTGTAATAATCAGCAGGAAAGGTATTTACCGAGGGTTAGCTGCATACAGGTGCAAGATCACTTACAATACACACCCAAATTTAATCAGATATGACTGTGGTATGCGCACGGCTGCTTTGGTTATGTTGGGGGCTGGGTGCCCTGTTCCTTTCTTATTTTTTATGAATTTTTTTACATGCATTTTCAAATGTGTGGTTTTATTACAAGTTTTAAAAAGAATCGCACATCTGCATATGTAAATGGAGGCATGGATCAGAGGGAACAAATCAAAACTACTATGGATGTCGAGGGAGAACAAGGAGGTGATGAATAGGGAAGCTGGGGGGGAAAACAGGCAGAAACTCACAGGCTTGGATCCTGAGCTTCCTGGAGATTCTGTAGGTTCCTCCTGAGCAGCAACGGCTCCTGTTTTATCTTAAGCATCCACCCTAAATAATGTGAAACTTAAAAATAGCCCTGAAAGCAGACATGAGCAAGGGGTGGTGAATGGGGAAGGCAGAGAAGGGGCAGGCAGACAACTAGCAAGAAAAAAAAGAGGGTGGTCCTGTACTGTCCACACTGTGAAGTATCTATAAAATCCAGAGCATTGAAAAACAGATTGGATGCAAAATCAGTAGGAAGCACTGTGTGATATGATAGGAGATGTAGCAAATTTGATCAGGTTTTTTTTTCATGAAAGTGTACTTGTGGCCCCCCTCTCTTTCTTAATTATTATCAATTATTGCACAAAGAGATCTGTTGCTCATGTGTGGAACTGCAGGACTAGAGATTACTCAATATTGGGAGAACATGAAAGGCCTTTTATATCAGATAGCTTGACAGAGTTTTGACAACAGCACTGCCAGAAAAGTTGTCCTGTAAGATTAAAATAAAAAAAAGGAGGGAAAGGAAGACACTTTCGCAGCTATTTGGTTTCTATTTAATGTGTCTGCAAATGGTTTATGGCCCACCAACTTGTTGGATGAAATGTTAGAGAGGGAACCCATGTAGATGATAGATTTGCCTGTATAGAGAATTTGGAGCAGAGCCCTCTGTGGCGTTTACCACCACACCTTCGTTGCTTCTCTTGGGTGCTGCTCCATTTTGTTTCTGTTCTGTAGGTATGTTTTTACCTACCTCAATATAGCATACTGTATAAGAAAATACTTTTTTAAAAATGGGTCAAACCAGCAGTCTGTCCAGTACATCATTCTACAGTGGACCCTTGACTTACAGACGGCTTGACTTACAGACTTTTTGAGTTACAGACTTCTCTGGCCGCAAAATTTAGGTTTGACTTGCAGCCTGAGAATTGACTTACAAACCAGAAAAAAACCAAAATGGAACAAAAACAGCCTGTTACGGGATTAATCGGTTTTCAATGCACTGTAGGTCAATGGAGACTTGACCTACAGACTTTTTGACCTGCAGCTACTGTTCCAATACGGATTAATTCTGTAAGTCAAGGGTCCACTGTATTAAAAAGTGTGTTCAATGAGATCAGTGGTCTCCAACCTTTTTGGGGCCATGGACTGGCTGGGGGAAGCAAGCTCCATGCGCAGGGGGGTGGGGTCATGTCACACTTGCACGATGGGTGTGTCGCACTCATAGGGAGCGCGAGTGTGACACACCTGCTGCAGGCGCGACATGCCCCCGCACAAGCATGACATGCCCACGGTGGGCGCTACACCCCCCTACGTGAGAGTGACACGCCCACCATGCGTGTGAGCAGGGGGGGCAGAGATCCATATCTGCAGCCCAGTTCCAGCAAGCACCAGGCCGCGGACAGGGGGTTGATGACCGCTGAACTAGATGCTCCTGGGAACAGTGGTAATGTTACATTTGGGGCACAGAGTATAGGGCATGGGCTTCACCCTCGGGAAGAGGCCTCCACAGTGGCCAATGGTAGCTGCTTGTGAAGGCAAGTATTTTTAACAGTGGCCACCAAGTCAAGGCTGCAATATTCCATTTTAAACTCAAGTGTTTCCTTAAATATTCTAAGTTACTTATTAGATGCTGCCTAGGTGTCTTTAGGGGAGAAAGGAACCATGCCTCCCAAATCTTAAATCTCTATATGTAACATGCACAAGTACACTCACATCTAGCTAATCACCAAGAGGCTCATATCCCCAGAAGTGCAATAATAGAAACCTGGTGTGATGAAAGTTTGCATAAGATCTAGCAAAGAGCTCAATTATATGCTTTGCTGATATTACAAAAGAAATGTTAAGGTCCGTTTCCCAGAAAGTAATATTGTCACAGGTGTTGACAAGAAGATTATTTTTTCTTTGGAGTGAGAAAAAATTCAACTTGATTCTGCAAATCCTGTGAGAAATTAATGTCCTTTGTACAGTCAAGGGACATCCAATTTTATATGGACGCTTGATGAAGCAGAGAGAACAGAATTCTGGGAGCCGCAGCCCAAGAAAGGAACTTTTCCATTGTGGTCAGGAGTGTGGGGGAGGGGAGAAGTCAGAGGAAATGGAATGAATCGGCAGAGTAATCAAATGATGTGTCAATGATTTCTGCTGAGTCGTAAGCTCTTGGTTCTAAACAGTGACAAATGAGTGGCAATTAAGCCCATAATCACATTTCTTTTCATTACATGTCTTTGGGCAGCACATTTCCTGCACAAGCACGAGTGAATTTACTATACTAGATACATTAGTTAGCCTCTCTCGTTTCTAAACAAGATTATCTCTCCTATGAGCATTGCTACACAGAGCAACAATTAGCCATCGATATCATATATTTAAAATAGATCCAAAAGAGAATACCTCAAGTGCTATAAAATATTTCAGATATGAGAAATGATTTCCAGCACAGTATAAATGTTTTTGTGACACATTAATTCTTACTTCATGTTCATATGAAAAGAATACCACATTCCACTGCCAAGGTTATGTAAACTATTATTACTGGTTAATACTTCTTGGCAAATGTTTTATGTGGGCTAATGGTGTCAGGATTAGATATTGTGGGTCAGGAGGAGGAGTCAAGAAAAACAATTTTTCCATCCTGTCTCATATGGCTTTAAAAATAAGGCACCATGTCTGCTCCCTTTTAGATGGACATTGAAATCATTTTATGTTTGACTATAAAACTTTCCCCAATCAATTAAAAAGCACACCATTTCCATTGTTCCCCTTGTACCCTTTATTTCTGTACATATTATATAAAATAAGTTACTCCAAAATATACAAATATAATCCCATTTGTAAAAAAATCATAAATATATATTAACATTGATTGTAATAGCATAATAGATCTCAAAATCACATCCCCTATGGGTACAGACATATTATGACATTTAAGTAGTCAGGTATGTTCCCATCCAGCAGCTAATAATCAGTACTGTATATGTTTAAAGTGCTATGTTCCAATGCATACATTCATATGTAGAGGATATTGTATCTATTAGTTCAAAGTGGCTCCCATATGTGGCTGAAATCCAGTAGTAAGCTGCAACTAGAACAGGTCTATTGAATCAAGGGAACCTACAGAGGAGTTGCCCATTTATTCAATGGTCCTACTCTAGTTGCAGCTTACTACTGGATTTCAGTCAATGTAAGTCAAAGGCCTGTCTCACAAACAGGAATATATCCAGTAAAAATTAAGAGAAGGTACCTTATTCCTGCATATTGTAGTGATTTATATCATTAACACCTATATGAAGTCTGCCAGGCAACTGAATGCCCTTTCTCTGCAACAATAAGTAACCCAGTCACCCGTACTGACAGATGCTCTAAAGCAGTGGTCCCCGAGCCTCCAGATGTTCTTGGACTACAACTCCCAGAAGCCTTCACCACTATCTCTGCTGGCCAGGATTTCTGGGAGTTGAAGTCCAAGAACATCTGGAGGCCCAAGGTTGGAGACCACTGCTCTAAAGTACCCTGAAAGTGCCAAAGAAACAATAGTATTTTCACTGTTATCTGTCAGTTAACATATCCTAAACAGTCCACCCATTTGTTACTGGCAAGTTAAAGATGGACCTTTAAAGTAGTGTTTTCATTACAAATGTTTCACAGAAACAGTAAACATCCCTTGACGGAAGGGGTGAACAGTACTTTCTTCCACAGGTCGGAGAAGAGCTTCTTAGGGCGTTATCAGCCAGCATTTTGCATCCAACTCTTACAGATTGGGAGGAATGTTCTCTTTCTTTTTTGCTGCCGCTCTTGCCTTTGTGCATTTATACACCACCACAGCCAAAATGATAATTAGGAGGACAACTCCTGTTGCAATAGCCACTATTATCAGAATAGTGTCTAAATCGAGACCTGGAGAAGAAAGGAGACAGAGAGTCAGTCAATTAAGAGGACATACCCTTCACATAATAGCCCTCAGTTGCCATTCAGCCTAAAAATCATCCAGATGTTCTAATCCTGAAAGAAATTCAGAATCATTTGCCTTGAATGCTAGCATTTTGAATGGGGCCGTAACTGAGGCAGCATGTTTTTTTCATTACTGAGCTTGCCAGGTCAGCAGCCTCCCATTCCCTAAGATTTCAGGACCTAAATCCAAGATCAGGATGTTGGCCCCTGTGATATCACAGAAGTGGGACAGGCCAGAGTTGGGAATGGCCAAACCTGCTTCTGGGCCATTTCATCCTGAGAACAGGCACAAAGCACTTCACTCCTTCCCTCACTCTAAACAGCTTCATAGTCCTATGCATCTTCACGCTCTCTTGTCAGTCCCTTCTCCTCACTCCTGGATTTTGGTAAGCTGATTTTGCACAAGCACAGAACATGTATAAACACTTCCTTACTGAGCCAGGAAGCTCTGTCACCAGCTGGGAGTGGATGGAAATAAGTGTCCAAGCCACTCACAAAAGCCAGTTCACAGGTGGGGGCAGGGAAAGCCCAAACTTTCTCATCTTCTGCCACTTTTCATCCCAAAATTTATCTCTCTGTCTGGAGAACAGGAATTGCAGAATATTTTCCCGATTCTTCAGCCGGTACCTTGCTACTCAGCAAAACTATTAATAACTGTGTGCAGTATGAAAAGAGGTACATGGGAGAAAGGAATTGAACTCCCCCCCACCCCATGTTTTATTCTTCCACAGATATTTTCCTTTTAGGTCTAGCACATTCCCAGAACTGGAAGTAGACTGTGAGAAAGAAGTTTAAAGTAAGGAAATGGGGAGGACTTAAGGTGATGGGTGGTTCAGTAACGTTCAGCCACACAGGATTGTAAAATAACAATTAAATGGGATAGATTTGAAGAATAATGAAGAAGCTGCCCCATCAATCTTATAACTATCTCTTTGAATTATCACCCTTCAACTGTTGCCAACACAGACTTGCTCCAGTCCAGCAGATACTAGAGCCATGCTACATATTCAGAAAAAGAAAGCCCTTCCAAATAAATAAATAAATAAATAAATGCAACGCAGACTTGCTCCAGTCCAGCAAATACTAGAGCCATGCTACGTATTCAGAACAAGAAAGCCCTTCTACAAATATGCCAATTCAGGAAAGACTGCATTACTGAAATACCCTCCATACCTCAAATTTCAATCCCTTGGTGGGAGTAAGTTACAATGAAATGGGATATATTTTCATAAAATTGTAACTGGGAAAGAACAAAAATGATGATTTAGTTCAACTCCCTGCAGGATTCGTTTATTTTTGAGTACGTTCACGTAGAAACATGCTTGGTGTTCTTGCATGGTGTTCTTCTTGACAAACAAGTTATCCATGTGAAGCAGACTTTTAAAAAATCACTATGGAATATTTTGTCCCTAAATTCTGTTGTGAGTGGTATAGCCCTTCTGGGACTGTGATAATTCTGAATATGTAATTCGGCTCTCAACAGCAAAACAAAAACAAAAACTAGAAATTTACCCCTAAGGTTCAAAGTAATTTGTTAGGAATGGTTTAAATACAAAAGATGAAATATATGGAGGAGGGAATCACTTAATACATACCATCCAAGCCTTCCCGATTAATACTGGTACATTTTTCAGTGCTTTTGGGGCTGTTACGGCTTCCTGAGCCTGTTGTAACAGTTGCTTGGACATAGAAACAGTAGCTTTTCCCATTATCAACACTGAGTTCAAATTGGTTGCTTCTCTCGGTTACAAATTTCTGTAAGCAGAAAAGTAAATTTATTGTAAGATTTATCTGCAAGTATTCTAGATTTTCACACTAAAAACTGTGCAAATACAGAGTTCATAAGGAGTAAAATATATTGGGTAAGTATTCTGAACATAGCAGGCCTTGTTTAAGAACAAAATCTGGGTGACTGAAAGGGAAGGGGTAAGATCATTAATACCAAACTTGTTATAAGAATTGGAGCAAATGTAAGGAACATTTAAGTGTTAACTGGAGGATTTGGACCAGGGGATTTGAAATTGGGGAGTAAGGCACAGTATGTGAGTCCAGGTGCTGCACAAATGGCCAGCCTTCCCTCCTCTGGTAAAGAAGCCACGAAATGCCTGATCAACCAAAGGATCTTCATAGTCTGGCTTCCCTATGTTGAAACATGTGGGGAGCGGGGAAGAACTGCCTTGTGCTTAATGTTACAGATTCCCTCTCTGACCAGGTAAGCAGGTTATCACCCTGATAAGATAAGCTCCTCTTGGAATAATAGGCACAAAAGTCCAGGTTCTTATAGTCTTAAGTGGTGACATGACATTCATGGGCTAGTGTACAGTCAAGCCTCAACTTACAAACATCCCTAGATACGAACTTTTCGATTTATGAATGGCTCTGTTGGCAAAAATTGGCATCAACTTGCAAATGGAGCTTGACCTACGAATGAGGTTGAGGCTCTGTTCGCAAGTCAATGCCATTTTTTGCCAACAGAGCCATTTGTAAATGGCTCCCTGCAAAAAGGCAGGGAGAAAGGGCAAGAAATTTTAATTTCCAGCCCTTTCTCCCTGCCTTTTTGCCTTCAGAGCTCTCAAAGGCCTTCCTCTGATGTCAGGGGGTCCCCAGAGAGGTCTCCCATGGTGGCGGGCAATATATTTTAGATATCCAGCTTCCCGCCAATACATGGATCAATGCAAGTGATAAAAGTCTGGGAAAATCATAAAAGTCTGCCTCTGCAAAACAGAGTACAGTACGTAGCAGGTGAGAATGCCTTTAAGTCACAAATGCTTTTTTCCAATTGTCACCTCAAACACAGAAGATCTGCTAATAAACATTTCATGGTCCCGACTCCTTTCTTTATACTATGTCTAATTTATTTTAAACAGAAACATATATGTTAACTACTTGTAATCTGCAGTTTTAAAAAGTAATGTTATTAAAGAAGTTAAGGGCTTCAGGGACTAGAAACAGACGCTCACCTTTCCTGTACTTTGGTCTTTCCAATAGTACACTGTGTATTTTAGATCATCTTTGAATATGTCCCTGATAGTTTGAAAGCTTCCATTTTCAGATCTGTAAGGTGTTAGTGGATCCGCTATCATTATTTTCAAAGTTTTATCTTTTTGTTCAAAATATTTGATTGCTGGCATTCCAATCTCAGCTAGAAGAGAAATGTTTTTAACATTATATCCAGATAAAGCTTGCCTATTGAGTTGAAGCAGAGAAGTAAATGGGTGTTTAATGCTTTCCTAGCAGGCTCCCCCCTGCCCGCAACTACATTTAATTTTGTTTTGCCTACATGGGGAGAAGGAAATAGCAGGTAGTGATATTTTACCTCACCAATAAACTGCTGCACAGGAAAGAGCAATTCTAACAGAGAAAAATGGCACCAAGATAAAAAGTGGGGCACTTCCTCTTACTGGTGTGGCAACCAAATCAGCACTCTCTCCCAGCTAAGCTTCATTTCAGGCGATCCATACATGTATTTTGTCCATGACATGCATTTCAGGCCTTAAGGAAGATTTTTAAAAATGCAAAGGAATCAGGAAAAGATGCCTACTGGTAGATCTGCCACAGACCACAGAGATGTATCTCTCAAGAAGGTACTTGTTTGTAAGCATTTCCACCTGTAGACACATAGCTTTATGCTGTGTTGGGGACTGGCAAGGACACACACACACACACACACAGAGAGAGAGAGAGAGAGAGAGAGAGAGAGAGAGAGAGAGAGAGAGAGGTGACATTTCTTGCTTACTTTGGTCATAAGGTTTGAATGGAGAGGAGAGTCCATAAGGAGGAATATTATAGTCATCTTCCTCAGATGGCGATTCAGAGTATATTCGAGCCGTGTAAGTATCTCTTACATTCTTCAGCATGTTAGTAACATCACATTCTGTTTTTGTAGTATGAATGCATGTCTTGTCCCGATTTGATAAGTTCCTGGGAAAAACAAGAATAAAATGCAGACTTTAACATTTGCCATGTAAGTATCTGGAAAAGGAGGATATATTTCCATAAACAGCTGTAGTCAGAAAGTTATGTCAGTTAAATATATCATTTTCAATGGTACGAACTGTAGTGCTATGAAGCATGCTTGTCTGCATTCTGCATGTTAGGTTAATCAAATTCACAAAACTAACCATGACCCTTCCTGTTTCTATCACTATGCAAAAATGGGTATAAATCAGGAAATTCCAAACTGGCACCAACCCTCATGCTCATAATTGACAGAAAACAATCATTTCAAATAATTTAAATAATAGGCTTAGAAACACTGTCACAGATATACTAAGAGGACAACTTTGCAAATTAAAACAGATATAGCTAACCAGAAAGTTATACCTTCAGTGTTTCACTGATAGTCTATGCTATTAATGATAAACAACCATTAATAAGAGTTCTTTCTAGTTCTTAGATACATTTTATATGAACACTGTTAATTGGCCTGGGACATGACTCTTACTTAATACAGATAGCACAAACACCTGACCTTGAATTGTCAGCCAATTAACTACAGAGACTTAAAACAAACACAATTTTGTATTAAGCACACAATTTTCTCCCAAGAATATAAACTATCAATGATAATGTTAGGTATAGTCCACTGAACACTAACCAAGTATTATCTCTTTTCATTTCAATGATGACTGAGGTAAATGAAGACCATATGGGACAATACATGCCCAGATGTAGTAATATGTTGATCTTTGTTTACCACCAAAATTTAAAATCAAACAGAAAGTTACAAAATCCAAGACTACTTAAGCTAGAGTAGCCTGGCAAGAGCTTGTTTTGATTCCATCTTTTCAAAAAACCAAACTGGCTGTAAAAGTAATAATTATCAACATTCTTTTATCTGTTTACATCTCCTATATGTAGCCCATCTTTTGTGGTAGAAAACTAGGTCCCGAGTCATTGAATATTCTAAAGAAATTCTAAATTCTAAAATCCACGTGTCATGTACATGCAGCTTCCCATTAACAATTGTGCTAAGTCTGCCATTTGGATCCCCTGAGTTGCTAACGCATTGATGAACATCCTATATGGAACGTACTTATAGTGCAGCATACATTCCTATGGGTCAGCTACAGATTTGTACAAAGCCACTGCATTAGCAAATTATGGACTTGTATCCGCATACAATCACTGTTGTTATCACCAACAGTGTACAAATTTCTATCCTGTCTGGATGCAAAGAGAGAGAGAAAATTAAGTCAATTCAAATTCTTCTTCAATTTCATGTATAAAAATATGGAAATTGGAAGGATTTATACACACTCCATGGGATAAAAGTCAAACCCATGTAGGCTGACTTCAAACCCATAAGACTATGTGGGATCAGATCTCAATTCTTCTGCCTAAAATTTGTGTTTCAGCGTGTGCAACTTACCCATCTATTTCAACGGTATAAACGTAGTTGGTTGGCTCAGGCTCCCACTGCAGCAGTGTCTTAAAATTAATTGATGACCAAGTAATGTTAACAGCTGTCATTACTCTAGTATTGCCTTTTAAAAAAGAAGAGACAAAATCGTGCTTAGTCACATGCTGTTTGTCTTGTACAACAATTATGTAGAAGCATGAAAAGCAACTGAAGCCTGAATCCAATTGATAGTCTCAACTACAGTAGGCTCACTGAATTAACAGTATTACACAAGTGTTCACTCAGCACTCAGCAACCAACTCAAAAGATCTACTTTAGCTGAGGGTCCCAATCAGACTTATAATAACAAAACAACATGCAATTTCCCTTTGTCTGAGGAGAATGTGTGAATACACTCGTACTGTGTTCATGCTGGAGAATAAGTCTATCAAGAGCTGCTAATCAGAGCTTGAAAAAAAATTGTTTGTATTACACGTTCCACATCCCACAGCCAGCACCACATTAGCCATGCTGGACAGGAGACTCAAGAAGCTGTACTCCAAAAATGAACTTTTCCAAGTCACACTATGAATCATGATAGGTACATGGAACCTCAAGCAGCTGGGGAGAAACAATGGGCATAAGGTTGACGTTTGAAGTTTATGCCCTACTTCTGTGAATTTCCCTGAGTTTTCAAGAACTAGGCTACAGATTTAAAGAACACCTTATTAAATTCTTTGTTCTTGTTGATCTAGGCTATCTTGATTCAATAAGACATTTCTTAACAAAAAATGTTAAAGCCCCATGGATTCTAATTCTCCATGAGAGAACAAGACAGAGAGCGCTATTATTTCCCTGCCAAGGTCTCTGCAATATGCATAAGGTGTCTCTGTGCAAAACAAGTGCCTTTCCCTTATGAGAAGCAAAGTAAACACAGCAAGCACAAAGTCGGCTAATAGCTGAGAAGAGATGCAAGAGAAGCCCCTTTCACCCTTTTAATCCTCAAAAGTCCGTGTGACAAAATAAGAGGCACCATTGTTTTTCTGTAATTTGTTGCAATGGCATTATTTGCATGATGCTGATTCAAGGCAGGGGGCGTGTTCCGGCTCTCTTGCTGGATGAGAGGAATAATTTCTTGGTCCTCTCATTTGTGAGGACATGACCAGCAAGGATTTACATCCCTAGACCTTTGATTCTTTTTATGACTGTGTCCCTTGTTAAATTCTTTTCTGTATTCTGTAAGCACAGAAGGTTCCTTCACTTGCACTCTGCTTCCAGTCTGATTTCTTTTCTGTTCACCACATCTTTATGCTCCTCACAATCACAGCGGTACAACAAGATTGTTGTAGTGCTCTGGGAAAAGTTTAGAAATATTTCTCAGTCCTCAAGTGCATTTTAACACTTAACAAGCATGTTTTATTAAAGGTTTTCTGAGCTTTGAAGGCAATAATTTAAATTCAACTGAGATGTTTCACCCCTCAGTATTAATCAGTGACATCCAGGTACATCGGATTGGGTGAAGTAGCAAGGACTGGTTGGGTTTTCTTTTCTTTTTGGTAGGTATTCAAACTTCCATGTCAATCGTCTTGCTGGAAAACAATCTGTAAGCCATTCTACACTGACTAGCACACGTATGCAATCTAATTCTCTTATTAAGATTTAGAGAAATGGTTCACATTGCACTTAACACGTTAGCAAACATTTGCTGATAGAATTTATTTTCTTCAGGGTTTTTTTTATACCACGGAGGCCATTTCCTTTGTAACCATGCCCTGATCAGTGGTGGCTTGTGGACTGAGGAAATTGGAAGTCCCTTTGCTGGCCCTCATTCAGTCAATGAAGGACCTTTCATTGGGATGTTTTTAAACCAAGATAAAAATGTAGTTACAAATACAGTTAAGGGGATATGAATACAATACCAGCGCTTCATCATTAAAGTGCACGATATTGATATAACACAGTGACTTCCTCTGGAATTAAAAATAAGACATCTCATTTTAGCAACTCAGAAGCCAGAACAGNTCCTTCCTTCCTTCCTTCCTTCCTTCCTTCCTTCCTTCCTTCCTTCCTTCCTTCCTTCCTTCCTTCCTTCCTTTTTCTGATCAGCCAAACATCTCTGATGAAACAGACTTCACACCACAGGAATTTATATGCCAGAATCATTGATTAATCCCCTGTGGTTCCACAGGTTTGTGATATTCCCCTGCTCAAAAATATCTATTTTTTTTTTTATTATTTCACCACCATCCACCTGTCTTGATAGCAGTACTACCTGAAATTCTGGCATTCAGCAATTCTGTTCTGTCTCTCTCAGGCTGAAGAGCAAACTACTAATTCACATTTGATGGCTGTTGCTTTCATTGAGAATGTCAAGTTATACGTCTTGGGCTGCCCTGAGAAGTCAGGTTGGGCTCCCCTCCCTCTTATGGCAGTGGGTTAGAAAAGCTCCAGTTTGTAAGTTCTGGAGACAACATGGTTTCATGAGAACGCAGTTACACCTGCTTTTGGGGCAACAAAAATGACAAAATTCACCTGCCACGTAGAGCAAGATGGACAGATTGGAGGTAGCCACAAAACCTCCAGCAAATACATATTCTGTCCATTTTGAGCAATAAACGATTCAAGGATCAAATCAACCAGAACAATAATTTATGAAGCGTCTTAAAAACTATAACTTTGTAGTCATTAAGGACAAATGGAAACAGTGCAGTGAGCCTCTGAATTTCATAGGCATATTTTTGTAAAAAGGAAGAGTATGATTGCCTCAGACACACGATTACATCGATTCTTTGGAAGCTCAAGTCACAACCTCATTCTCACCTAATCTTGTCCATGTACTGTAGGAAGAGTATGATTGCCTCAGACACACGATGACATCGATTTTTGGAAGCTCACAAGTCACAACCTCATTCTCACCTATCTTGTCCATGTAATTCATCCATTTAACATCATTTGGATCCTTTAAAATCTGCTTAAAACTCTTATTGACTTTGATGTTTCTAAAATCAATTCGACCCACAACTGTATAAATACAATTCTTAACATTTCAAGGTTTACGCAGTTAAACCACGGCTCTTGCCTGCCTCTTAAGATCCTTGGAAGGATTTCATTTACAAAACGTCTAGGGCAAAAATCCTTATAGACAGCTTCCCCCGCTCAGTCTGCAAAGAGTAAAGCCACATTTCGATCCAAATCCAAACAGATCGGCTCCTCAGACATCAGAGCCACGCCGAATCAAACGGAAGGTTTTCTAGTCTAACATTTTATTCAGATATTAGCCTTCAGTTGCTTATGGGGCTACCTGGACAGCAGTGTAAGAGATATGAGCCCCTCTGATTTCAGTGGGGCTCGCTTCTTCCTCAGATCCTCATGCACTCCCTATACAGGGGAGAGAGCCCGGGCACGCTGTGAACGATGAACACGCCAGCCGCGGCACGAAGTTACATAGCAAAGCCACAGAAAATGCCCACGTCCTTCAACCAAAAGCCTTTCCCGAGTACTCTCCAAGGGGACCAATTCCCGCCATTTCGCTCCAGCGAGGAAAGGTACCCATCGCGCCAACGCTGCACGAGCGAGACCCCCGGCAGGTGCGAGGGAGGGCGGGGGCGCGCGCCGGGCTCCCTCTCCACTCACCTGAGCTGAAGCGGAGCAGCAGGGAGAGCAGCGCGCACAGAGGGAGCGCGCGGCAGCAGGGCGCGGGGGCCGCGGCTGGAGCCATCCCTGTGGAGCGGCGGCGGTCGAGCGGAGCAAGGGGAGTCCTGGCGGCGGGGCGAGGGCAGCTCAGGGCCAGCGGTTCGGTGATGGTGTCAGAAGCAGGCAGGCAGGCAGGT